GCACATCCACTCTATTGCTCAGGCTGAAAATCTGGGCATTTTCCCTGAGTTTTCTCTTTTCTTCCCCCCTACATCCCATACATCAGTGAACACTGTTGAGTGTACCTCTGAAACACATTCTGAAACAGGTGTTTCTACCTGCAGCCACTGCCACCAGCGGCTGTAGCCTAGGACATCACTATATTCTGGCCACAGCTTCTATTCTCTCCTCCTGGTCATCCATTGCCCAGGTGGCTGCAAAAGTCATGTTCAAACCTCTTCTACTAAAAACAGTTGTAGAATAAAACTCTAACTCCTGGCTGGTCAAAATAACCTAGCTGGCATGTATATTTCAGTCCAAACTAAACAAATTGACTCATCCTAGTAACTGTCAGCTGGGGAGTTTTAAGAAAATAGATTAATGGATGACTGAGCAGAGAGAAAGAGAGAAAAGGACTTACGGCTTCAGATTTGGGAGGCACTGGAGGTGGAGGTAGGGCAGTATCTGAAGACTTCATTGCTGCTCCCAGAGTCCCAGGGACAGGAAGGGGAGAAGTTGCACATTTGGACCGGACAGGACCTCTAAACTGATCACATCTGTTCTTCTCACTCAGGGAGCGAGTGAGAGGCTGATGGCTGGGCTTGCCTTCCTCCAGCCACAGCTCTTCGTAAGGAAGTTCTGACTTCCCGGGGACGCCTGCCGATTCTTCACTGGCTTCGGGGAAAAGGTAGTCACTCCCACTATCACCGGAGTCCTGATAGGGCAGGATGTCATGAGGAAAAGGGGCCCACTCTCCCCCCAGGTCCCTGCAGCCCTGGAGGTTCACCTCGCTGTTGCCATGGAGATTGTTGCCGTACACACACACCGAGAGCCGGTGGAAAGACTGGGTGAGCTCGTCGCGGGCGTAGCTGAGGGAGTTGGGCACATGGTTGTGGCCAGAGCACCGGCCCTTCTTGGGGCTCTTGCAATCCTCGTTCCAGTCGGTTTTCACGTCCCGGACGGCCCGTGAATACTCATCGATATCAAACTGTTCTTGGCAGATACCCAGCCAGTGATGGACCAGGGTTTCGGGCCATCCCTCCCCCTTCACCAAGTGTTCTGGGAGGCTGAACTTGGGGACAGTCAAGTGCAAAGGAAAGTGCATGGGGAGGATCTTGTTGTTCCGGAGCACGCAGCAAACCACCACCGTCTTGGTCTGGATGTTCACGAACTTGTAGCGGTGCCCCTCGCGGATGAAGTGGAGGTCGTAGGGGTTTCTCGGTGGAGGACTCGGCACAGTCACGTTCACAGGAAGCCTAGTCTTCTCCACTATGTTGCGGATGGTGTGTTCACCCTCCTGCATCTGAAGCTCCAGGGGACTCCGGGTGCTGAATCTGCCCTTGCACTGGAATGGAAGGCTGATGCTCTCATTGGTCCGGTGATTCATGCAGATGAGGCAGGGCATTTTCCCTTTTCCCAGCTTGCTGATGGAATTGAGCTTCCCAATCTTTTTGAAGATTGTATTGAGTCGTGACTTTTCTTTGAAAGTCTTTGCATAAAGGATTTCTGCCTGCCCCATTAGGGTGAGTTCATCCCCAGTACACAGGGTAATGTTATAAACTTCGGTGTCCTCATGGCATTCACCTGAAGCAACCTAAAATACAATACATCAGATATCAACTTAGTTTCTTTCATCTGTCCACACAAAGTCCTAAAGAGCTTCCTATTAAGTCACAAACGCGTACATACCCAGAGGAAAACACTATGTTTTAGTTCTAAATTTAGATATTCTATTTCTTTCATAATATTCATGTGGTTAACAATAACTACTTCTTGTCTAAGATGGTATTGGTTTAGACTTTTAGAAACATCTTTTTTCCCTACAGATGCAGAGTAGCTTATCATATAGATCAGAGGTGTCCAACCTTTTATTTTCTCTGCTGTATAACAGAAGAATCAAGAGCTATCTTGGGCCACACATAAAAGAAAAGCCACAGAAAAGCAAAAAAGTCCTCACAAAATCAGTGTGCAGCCATGGGCTGCAGGTTGGACATCTTGAATATAGATGATTTTTAGAAAGCATTAATATTATCATTATTTCCTTTTCAGTTGTAATGCTTTAATGAAAACTAATGTAGAAAATCCCCCTTTTAGTTTAAACTTTTAATATTTCTTTCTTTCTTTTTTTTTTAAAGATTTTTTTATTAAATCATAGCTGTGCACATTAATGCAATCACAGGGTACAGTGTGGTATTTTCACATACATTTTGAAATAC